GTGTGTGTGTGTGTGTGTGTGTGTGTGTGTGTGTGTGTGTGTGTGTGTGCGTGTCTGTGTGTGTGAGTGAGTGCCCATAAACGCACTCGGCCACACCTATAAACAGTTCGTACTTCACATCTCTCACTCACTGACCATTTTGAGTTAGTGATGGTTCTATTTTCGCCAATTCGCCATCTCTTCACTTTCTACGCAATGTCGTTATGCTAGAAGATGAGATGTATTGGGGTTGACTTTTCATTCACATTTGGCCTAACATTTGTCACTTCCCTCTCATTGAAATATTACTTTTAGGCGGAAATTTCAAATTGGTCTTCAGTGGAGATCAAGGAGAGTGTTCGTCCTCTTGAGCCAGTGGGTATGCTAATCAATCCGGAAGGACAGGTATACACACACTCTCTCTCACCTATTTCCTCTTTTCATTTCATTTCATTTTACTTGACCGTCAAGAATGTCGATCACTCTTGCATGATAGTATGAGAGATCATGTTGCAAGGTTGATCAATCAAATAACTAACGCATTTTGCCCAAGTCCACAGTCCTTTCCATTGGATCACCCTTCTTTTTTACCATTTTCGAGTCTCTGATCCATTTTCAGAGACGAAAAAACCTCCCCAAACTTGCTGTAGACGAAGAGGGCTTTCGGCCTGGTTTCTCCCCCCTTAAAATAGAAGTTGATAAATCGATTTGGTATATTACTCAGTAGGGTAGAAGATGAGCCCATTTGAGCCATCGATTCGACGGCGGCAAAATTGGCCGTTTTTGACGTCAATAAAAGAGAAAGTAGTGTTCAAGAAGTGGGGAGGGGAGTGAGGGGGGTCTAATTTAGGGGATAGTAATTAAATTATAGTAACTTGTAATAAATTTAAGCCACAGAAATTAGCACAATTAACTGCTTTTGTGCACTGGCGAGCAATGAAATGGCGGTCTTTGACATGGAAGACTAGCAAATCGACCTCTTTTCAATCGGTGTAAGCAAAATTTAAGAGATCAAAGAAGGAAAATACAAACGTATTTAAGAAACTTCGTTTTCAATGCTCTTTTTAAGCTTCAATTGAGATGAATTTTTAGAAGTAACATTATAAAGCCTTTAATGGCCTCAGAGTCGTACTATTCCCTTTGAAAATAAGCTCAATTGGTACTAGACTCGTAACAGAATACACATTTGCCCATTGAAAAATGTTCAGTAAGTGTCTATGACTTTTGCCTGATGCCACCATCATTAATGACATAGCCGAATTGGTACAGACAGTCATGGGCACCATGTGCTTACTTTATGGAGATGATCTTGTTCTATGGTACTCTGCCCCTAAGAACAACGCTCAGGAGAGGACAGAAAGTGTCCTAAATGGTGCACTTAAACTAATAGCAAACTGATGCGAAAACAATGGTATGGTTATCATCACCGCGAAAACTGCATTCCAAACATTTTCTTTGGCCCGTCACAGCATAAACCCGCTTCTAAGGTACAAGGATACTTCCCTAGAAAATACCAACAAGTTCCCTTATCTCGCAATGATGTTTGATACTAAGCTAATGTGAAAAAGTCACATTGCTAAAATAGCAGAACGAGTCTCCAATAGACTGAATGCACTGAAGCGTCTTGCTGGTAGCCTATGGGGCTGTGCACGCTCAACTCTTAACACCACTTTCAAAATGTTTATTCAGCCAATAATGTTGTATTACTGTGAGCCACTCATTACAGCCACAGAGGTGACTCTCAAACCATTCCCATGGATAAGTTCTTCAGCACCTATGAGAATAGACCGAGACATCTGAAAACGCAATCTGGTCGAATACAGAAAGCCAGAGAACTGAAGAAAGTATTACTAATCGATGACAAACCAAAAGCCTCTCTCCCCCCATGAACCCATTAGCAGACACTGATGTAGTGTGTTACACCCAACTGCTTGACTTCTTCAGGAAATCAAACACCCCTCCAGAACAAATGCGCTCACTGGCCCTTGAGACAATCAATGTTAACTCTCCTGCAGATCAAGGGCTCCAAGTCTTCACTGATGAGTCATACATAGAAAACCACGCAAACGGTGGTGCAGGTGTCTATTCTGAACTCTTCTCTTTCTACGCAGCAGCGGGACACAATAGATCAGCTTTTGAAGTAGAAATAGAGGCCATTCGGATAGCACTATGCCAATTATGTTGCCTGAATACGAAATTCACCAACGCAGTGATGCCTTGAGGCTCACAGTCAGCAATAAACACAATTGGATATGCTTTTATAAATTTAGCACCCTGGCACTGCTGAAAAAAACAATAGAAGTACGCGACTATAAATCAGTAATAATTGAAAAGCA